TAGGGGTTATTACAGTTTTAGAATCTAAGTTTCAGTCTATTAAATTGATAAAACAGGTTTATGCAATTTTGCTTATCCAAACAGTACCCTGACTGATGTAGTTTAGCCCAACTAAGCATACACATTATTGAATAAAAACATGTTTAAAACACAGTTGTAAAACATAATCCAAAACTTAAGACCATGCAAAAGCATCAAATCTCCTCCGAACAGTGTCCTAACAGAGATATACAACAGATTTAATTGTCCGTTAATTCCAACCAAGCATACCTATAATTCAATAACAGAATGCTTAAACCTTAGCTACACAACATAATTTAAAACTTAGGGTCGTGTACAGGCATCAGATTTCTAAAACTGTCTGCACTTCAAATCAGTGGTTTAATCTTTCAAATACAGCCCTTGTTTAAACTTATGTTAATTCTATCCTTTATTCTAGAATATAAGCTTGCTTCTCCATTATTTTATAAGTCCTAAGCAGTATATTACATCATTCAATAGCCTTTAAATAGTTTTAGAAACTAAGATTTAACCAACCAGACCATTTAAAACTCAGTATACATGATATTTAAGAGAGAGAAGGCTCTGTGTTTCAAAGAGCCTTCTCCGAATAAGTAGAGCCTTCTCCATTCAAGTAGAGCCTTCTCCACTCAAGTAGAGCCTTCTCCAAATAAGTAGAGCCTTCTCCACTTTAAGTATACGTCTGTTCTTCTTCTGTTGTCTTCTCCGACTCCGGTGGTTTCCAGTCATTGAACTTAGTTTTATTTCAGGTTTTAAGATCCCATCCACATCTAAAGTAATCACAAGACAGAGTTATATAAACAAGAATTTAATTAAACATCAGTTTGTAATGCAACGACAATCAGTTTGCAATCTACCGTTTTCCTTAGACTTATTTTGCTGCATTCTTATGCTTAATCATGGATTAATGTTTTCGATAGTTTAACGGATTTATTCCAGACCCAACAACAATTTAAAACAGCCTAAACAAAGTTCCAAGAACCTATACAGACCAAACAGTGCACAGAAACAAAATTTGGTGCGTTCAATTGAGAGCAGGCTCATTCAAAACAAAGAGCCTGCTCAACTAATCTAGGAGCCAGCTCCTAGATGCTAGAGCCGGCTCCACCTTCCTTTGGAGCCGGCTCTAAGGTAGAAAAAGCCGGCTCCTCCTCTTCTTGGAGCCTGCTCTTCTCCCCTTAGTGCCGTCGTCCGTTTTGCTGCTTCTTCTTCGACTGCGGTGTTTTCCAGACCTCTGTAAGGTTCTTAATGGTTGTTCTAGGGTTCAATCTTAGTTCTAGGGTACTCTTAACCCACTGTTATGCAACCACAATCTGAACTAGACACAAGTCTTACGGCAACGATTACATAACTTCTGATAGCAACTTTAGACAACTTACAACAGATTTATTTAGTAAAACTCAAAACTGTTTTAAAATCTTGTTCTAGGGATTAAACTCATTCTCAGAATAATTGTAAGGCATCCAATCTTATTACTAATCTCATTAAAACAAGCTTAAACGTAAAAGACACAGATAGCAGAAAATCAACCAGTATGCAAAACAGTTAACTCACTGAGATCAAATAAATTCATATCTGCATGGAAAACATGTTATTATGTTTGTGTCAATCCATTTTATCTTTTATTAAAACCCTGAAGTCTAACCAGGCATGCACAGAACATGAATTAAGGGGAAAGAATAGAACAGAGACTTGCCTGCAATTTCAGAGTTTGAAACTGTAAATCACCGTCTCTGTAATATGTTTAGTTCCTAAATCGTAAGTCTGCTCCTCCAGTGCCTTGGTTCAACCCAAAAACACCTCTCCTTCCTCCTTCTTGGTCCAAACTTAATCCAGACCAAAACCTAGACCTCCTCTCTTTATCTTCCTCTCTGTCTCTTAATATCTCACTGTATCTTTGTTCTACCGAAAACCTACGTTTTGCTTTGTATTGTTTTAAACCCTAATCCACTGTAATATACATATATATAGGTTTAGACATTAAACCCTAATCCATATATAACCCGGCCCATATGTAAACCTAGGTTACAAATCAATGGCGGCTGCCTATGAAAATTATAAACCCAATGAAAAGCTATATAACAGTCACGTTGAGAACCAACTAAATCAACTATCACAAAATTAATCCAATTAAAATAATTAAATAAAACAATTAACTCAATCAAATTATTCAAGTAAATAATTAAAACAAATCTAAGTAAATCATTTATTTAAAAATAAATACATACTTAAATAATTAAACAAACCAAAACACATTACTCACATATTAAAAATGCAATAAAACTCAAAATTATCAAAATTAAATTCCCATTCTATCCTTTTGAAAACTAGGGGTATTACACTTGGCCACACTTCATACATGGTGAATGAATGCTAATGGAAGAATCAAAATGGAATTCCCACACCCAATGCAAACATGGTGAAGTAAAAACTCAATATTTTTCAATACATTCATAATATTCCATAAAGTCAAAAATTACATAGGATACAAATTACATGTCATTGGCCTCCGGCCTCATCTCATACATGTCAAATACATCGTAAAGAGTGTACTCATGTACACATTACATATATGGAATCAAATGTACACATGTTGACATATAAGACTACAATTGGCATTCCAAGCCAACCTTCACAAAAATGGAAGTCTCCAAGTCCATAAACCATCCAAGCATAATGAAGACCTCAACTTTGATTCTTGTACCTGAAATATGCTCCAGTATCGTAGGGGTGAGTAACATAAAACTACTCGTAGGAAATGAGCATGCATCAACCTACGTTTTACAAGTTTGCATGATTTAATCATTGTGGTTCATTCCACCTAACGTCTATGTCAAAGGTGAGACTCAAGGAACATCCTAGCTACCTAAGATCATTTCTAGCATCAATCACCTCATTCATGCAATTTTAGCAACATAGGTTCCTGCTTATATAAAGCAACAACATAGGAGCATGCTTACACAAGCAACAACATATAGATTCTCAAGATTATCAACTTGAAGTTTAAAATGCAACATCAACTAAATATAACAATTTAGCATAATTAGAATATCTAATACCACACATCAAGACATAGATTCTCTAAGTTATCAACTAGAAATGTAAAAGTGTGAAATCAACTAAATATAGCAATTTAGTATGGATGTACTTATGCTACATTTGGTGTGCAGGAATAGAATGGAATGAAATGCTCATTCCAACCATTTGTTTGTTTGGTGTGCAAGAATGGAATGGAATGACCATTCCAATGGAATGAAAATCCATTCCAGGGAATGAAAATCCATTCCATTATTAAACCTATGAAATGGCCATTCCATTCCATAGTAAGATTAAAGTTTTTTGTAATATTCCCAATAAGCCCTTCATCACATTCCAATAAGGCAAAAATATTTCTCATAGACCAAAAATCTTTCACATTTTTTTTTTTTTTACATTTCTCAAGATTCTTTATTAGACGTGGTAAAGGTCTTTCACCTTCCCCCTCTTCCGAATATACACAGAGCTGCCAATAAAAAGTTGCAGAACCTTTAACCAAATTGCAAGTATTAATCTCAATATATATATTTTTTTGATAAGTATGTATTAATCTCTTTATCTTCTGAGTTTATCACTTTTTTATTTTTATTTTTATTTTTTTATATTTGTGTTGAATCGTTTGTGTGATTTCTCCATCTTTCTCTCTTTGAACATTTACGTATGAAGCAACGATTATATAAAATAAAAATTAATAATCACATAAAATAAAATAAAAAAAAACAGTTTGGCCTATTGACCTACGACTTCAGTGCTCTAGTGGTTGATCTTTGTGACGGTAGAGAGGTTTATTAGCAAAATTCTTTAAATTGATTCCTTTCCAGAAGAGAGGCGTGTGATTGCTCTCTCTGCTATGGGAAAGACAACCGACAAGCTTTTACTGGTATTGGCCTATATTTTATTTTTGACTTTTCAATTGATCTGTTACATGATTATATCCTCGCATGGTATTTTATTTTACTGGTTATAAAGAATATATATGTATTCTTTATTCATTCCTTCCAGCAAGTTCTTGTAGGTTATTGATGCTATTGATAATTATTGATCTACAAAGATTTGAAAAGTTTGTCACTATAACATCTTTGTGTTTGTTTTCAAGTATTTGTCTAACAGTTTGGCCTCTTTCCATGTGGCAAATGCAGCATCTCGAACCTAGGATATGTTGCAAATGGAGTGGTTTCTTTTTAGTTTATGTTTGACTTTAAAATTATACAAATTTGACAAAATCATCATTCAATTTCTATGTGGAATAAGATACTGTATAGGCAATTTGGCCTTCATTGACAATGTTTGGAGTAAGAATTGCTTATTTAATTGACACAGAGAAGAATTCTTTTGAAAATTTGTTGCTATCACATACTGTTTATCTTTGTGCTCCCATAATATACACACACATACACACACACACACGCGCGCGCGCGCACGCACGTACTATCAAATAAATAAATTTTAGTAATGCCTTAGAGCTTTTACTACTAGAACTTGCAGCCTCTGTTAAATTTTAGCTTTAGTTGTTGAATAATTTGCTTTTTATTCTTATTTTTTGATCTATATTTAACGTTTATAATATTGCATCTCATAATTAAGTTTAAATTTATGCAGTTATGGCTCGTCTAAGTTTAAGGACAAGGAAGATGATAAGGAAAAAGAAATTAGTAGCAATAAATGTATTTAGATTAAATATATTATATGCGGTAAATTGGTGGTTTCATCTAATGTGTTGCTTATTAGACTTTTGTAATCAAAGGCGATCATTAAACTCGAGATATGTCGTCAACTTTTACTCAAATAGAGAAATTCTATACAAACTAGTTTATGCAAGTGATGTGACTTGCATAGAATAACTTAGGATGAATAGGCAAACGTTTACCAAATTGTGCTCCATGCTTAAAAGTATAGGTGGGTTAAAAGATACCCAAAATATGTTGATAGATGAACATGTAGCAATGTTTATTCACATTCTTGCACATCATGTCAAGAATCGGGTCATTAAATTTCGATTTCAGCGGTCAGGAGAAACTATCAGTAGGCACTTTCAAGATGTGTTGAATGCTCTCATGCGTCTTGAAGGACTCTTACTTAAGAAACCAGAGCCGGTTCTTGTTAACTCAACTGATGAGAAGTGGAAATGGTTTAAGGTAATTAATCTTTATTTTTATTTTTTTGAAAGAATATATCTTTTATTTATTAATAACCATAATGACTTATTTTTTTCTAAAAAAAAATTAGAATTGCCTTGGAGCTTTAGATGGGACACACATCAAGGTAAGGGTACCTATAAAAGATAAGCCTAGATATAGTACACGCAAAGGTGAAATTGCTACAAATATGTTAGGAGTGTGTTCACAAGACATGCAATTTATCTATATATTACCTGGGTGGGAAGGGTCAACTGCTGATAGTAGAGTGCTTCGAGAAGCAATGGACAAGAGAAATGGATTTAAAGTTCCTCAAGGTAAGACTTTTTTTATTAAAAAAAAATAATATTTACACTTCAACTAAATTTTAAATAGAATTTCCAATTAGTACACTTATACTTGTCACAAATATAGGTTACTACTATCTTGTTGATGCTGGGTACACAAATTGTCAAGGATTTCTTGCACCATATAGAGGACAAAGATATCATTTGAATGATTGGAGGGATGAACACCAACCTACTACTCCTCGAGAATTTTATAACATGAAGCATTCTTCGGCAAGAAATGTGATAGATAGATGCTTTGGACTACTTAAGATGCGTTGGGCAATTATGAGAAGTCCTTCTTTTTATTCGACTACAACACAGACTCGAATCATTTTAGCATGTTGTCTATTGCATAATCTTATAAGGTAAGAGATGTCTATAGACCCATTAGAGGAAAGTTTGGAAGAACAAGAACATGCTCTGAATGAAGTACATGGTGATTCAATTACAACAATCGAAACATCAAATAAGTGGAGTGCATGGAGAGATAATTTAGCAACCAACATGTTTAATGAATGGATGGCAGCTAGATAAGGGAGATGATAATTTTTCATATCAGTTTATGTTCTTTTTAAATTTATGTTTAATGAATGGATGGAAAATAGACAAGGGATTCAGATAATTTTTTTGAGAAACGTTTTTATTTTTTAAGAATTATTTTTCAATGTGACATGTTTCTTTTTATGCATAGGTTATTATCTATAATCAGTTATTAATTAATTTTTATATGTCTTGGTTGATATATTGGTGAAGTTTTTCTCTTTCAAATTTACATGTGTGAATGCATTTATTAGTTGTGAAAATTATATGTTATATATATCTTGTACATGTTAGGATGGAGTTTACACAAGATCAAATAAGAGGAGCAGGTAACAATAAACGGATGTGGACAGATGAAGAAGATATGAAGCTTATTGAGGCTCTTCTCGACTTACATAACACAGGTCTCTATAATGCCGATCGTGGATTCAAACCTGGCCATGTTACAGCTGTGGAGAAAATACTTGCAGTTACTTTGCCATATTCTTATTTAAAGGCAAACCCCCATATTAAATCTAGAATGAAAACATTAAAAACCCATTTTGTTACTGTGCATGATATGTTGCATGGGCCTAACACAAGTGGGTTTGGTTATGATAATTTGAACCATTGTGTGGTTGCTGAGAAATCTGTGTGGGATGCTTACCTACAGGTATTTTTTTGCCTTCATAATTTTATTTTTCTCTTTCATTTGTATTATGATATTCTTTCCTCTCTTTTTTTTCAAAATTTTGTATTATGATATTCTTATAATTGCTTTTTTTTTTATAGAGTCACAAGAATGCTGCAAAATTTAAAGACAAACCTTTTCCATATTATAAGGATCTATGCACCATATTTGGAAAAGACCGTGCTACCGGAAATGATGCTGAAACAGCTGCTGATGTTATGGAAAAATTGGATAAAGAACGGATGAACAAGGAAAATGATGATGTTGGAGATGGTTTAGATGATATTGACGCATCGATATCATTTATGCAATCTCCCACAATTGGAAAAACTCATGAAGTGAGCTCTAAAAATAAAAAGAAGAGGAAATCTCAAAGTGTCGCAGAATCATTGTGTGAAGTAGTGAAACAATCTTCAACTTTGATTGGCTCAGATATAAAATCAAGTACTGAACGCCTTAGCCAAGCTATTAAAGATGCTTCAATTAATGAGTTGAAAATTAGGCTACACGAAGAATTGATGAAGTTACCAAGTTTGAACAAAACCGATCGAGCAAAAGCTTTGGCTCAAATTGGTCGTGACCGTGACTTGATTCAAATTTTTTTCACACTTGATGAGGATATGAAGGAAGAATTGGTGAAGACAGTCATTTCGTGAAGATTTTACTTAGGTGACCCTTTTTGGATATTTGGCTAAGCAGGTTTTGAATTTTTATTATGAATGCTTTGGATAATTATCTGGTTAATTTTGTGATGGGTATGTGGCACTTTTTGGAGATATTTTGTTTAATTATTTTGATAATGCTTTGGACTCCTTAATATTAATTTGTTCCTGCAATGATATTAACTTATGATATTAGTTTGATTGTGACCCATAATGAAAGAAAGACTTACCTAACAAGTATAGATTGGGTAAGAGACCTGGTCATTCTCTTGTTTTGTTTTTTTACTTCAAATAATTTTTTTTTTATATATTATTGAGATTGATATATGATTAAAAATATATATATATTTTATTTTTTAGCCTTTACATCAACTTTTTAGGTTAAGTATTCAATCATGGTGGCTATGGTTTTGTGCTTTTGTCTTTTGGGAATTTAGATATTTTCCCTTTTGCAGTCATTTATTAATATTAATATCTCATTAAAAATAATATTTTATTTTATTTTAAGATTTTTCTTTATTTTTTTCAATGGCAGTACTGGGCATCTTATAATATTCTATAATTCATCGTCAGAATTAAAAAGAAATGTAAGCCAATGAAAAGGGCATTTTTGAGAAAAATCATTCCATTCCAGATTTGATAATAGTCAACCAAACAATAGAATGGTAATACTCATTCCATTCCATAACGATTTACTGTGTCACACCAAACATTAGAATGGTAATACTCATTTTATTCCATTCTTATTCTCATTCCATTCTAAGTTGCATTCCATTCCATTCCTGCACACCAAACGTAGCCTTAACAACACCAAAATCGCCAACAGCCAAAACCACAAGTTAACAAGGTAAACATGATTGTCAACTTGGAATTGAATGCGAAAACAAATAGTGGAAGACTTGGACATCACGCTCGGAATTCTGCCGAGACCTCAATGGTTATTCCGGGCACTAACTCGTAGGGAAGACCACCCTAAGTGCGCACTATCTCAATGACTTAGAGGACTCACGTCCCCGTACTAGAGCCAAACCCTAGCCATCTCAACTCAACAATGTTCCAAGATTCCAAAATAAGCCAAATAAGTTCATAACTTATATATATTACTACTCCATAGTAACAAGTTAGCAATATAACTCTCAATTGTGCATAATAAGCATTTCATATCCAAAATGCTACGAAATCACAAGCCAATAATATATTCATATTAGAAACATACTCTCATGAATATAAACTTAACAGCAATGCTCTTCAATGCATATAGCACAATCTAGTGAATACATCACAAGTCTAAATCCATGCTCTTAAAATAGAAACAACTTCTAAAACATGATTAGATCCATGGATACACAAGATAGAATTTAATTACATCAAAATAATTATACTCTCTAGATTTCAAATCATTTCCAATTGGCCCCAATTTAATATATGTTAATAGACATATCATGGTCATTACATATATTCAGACACAAGCTTAATTAGGCCCATGAAACCACCAAAATAGATTTTAATTAATTCCCTTAATTAAAGTCTCTAGATTTCTAAACTCAACCAAATGCTCTCAAATTAAAGTATGTTAACAAACATGCCAAAACTTAATTTAGAAGCATAACACAACTCAATTCCATGCAAGGTATGGCCATGAACTTAAATCTTTCACAAAAGATAAATATTAATTAAAAAGAGCAATTCTTATTTAATTAATCCCAAATAAATATATGTTAACCAACATATTAAAACAACCATGCCACAATTCAAATCAAAGTTATATATCATCATGAATTTTAAATCTTATACAAAGAAATAAAAATTACTAACTTTCTAGATTTGATACAAGGCACATATATAAGTTGTATAATCATGCTAAACACTCAATACAACACACACAAAAGCCTAAAACATTCCCTACCTCCATTTGAGATGAAATCTCAAATCCCCACCAAAATAAATCGGCTCCGAATCCGACGAAACTCCTAGGTTTTGTCGGGGACAACACCACGAACATGAATCCCAAGGAAGCCCTATCAAAAACACAACTTGACTTCAAACCCGAACTCAAGAAACGGCCAAAACAAGATTCCAATCAGTTGGAATCGAAGGCCTCGCCGAGGGGAACAATAAACACAAAGGCATCACCACTTTTTAATGAAGGGAAGAAGTCCAAAAGAGGAAAGAGAAGATGGCAGTCATGGATGGAGCTTGGACCGGCCATGAGAGAGGAGAGAGAGACAAAAATCTTATTTTTCTTTCTAAGACCTCCTATTTATAGAAAAACTCAAAAAGTGCCCCGAACGGGCTCCGCAGGGTCCGGAAAAGTGAAATTCGAGCAGACGCGCTCAAACGGCAAAACTCCATGAACAAAAAAGATTCCAAATGAGAAAATATGAACAACGGAAGAAACGACGTTGAAAACCGAGTCCTAAGCAGAGAGTTATGCCCAAAACAAGTTTGGCGCAAACCGGGGCCAAAAACCTTGAAACTGGAAAACATTGTCCAGGTGGAAATTCTAAGAGTCCACGACTCGACGAAATGCAAAAATGAATCCCATACGAGGATTCAGGCTCAAAACAAGGCATTGAGCAATAATTTTCATTAATTGTACAATGGTCCCTCCAAAAAGTGAAAACTGCGAAACTACCCCGGAATGAAAATATCTTCCAAAAGATATTTTCTTAGATACCCCTGAAATAAAATATCTTCAAAAGATATTTATGAAAAACACCCCAAGAAGAGAAAAAGTTTCCAAAGGACTTTGCATTTATGCCCCTACGGGCACCGGGAGCAATTAGAGTACTTTCTCACAAAGTAAAGATACGTATCTCATAGAAATCGTTGAGAATGAAGATACGCGAAGTCAGAAACCAACTCCGAACACAAGAAGTGTGGTTACGTAAACAGAGTGACAAACGAGGAAAAGACGAAATAGGGAAAAAGATAAAATAGGGAAAAGACAAAAAGTGAATAGTGTCGAAAAATGAAAATTGTGGAAATGACTCGGTCCTCAAAGGAAGTTGTCAATCCATAGAAAAGAGTCTTGGAAATCACTCCAGAGCACTCGAGACGACACTAAGTGACGTGAAACTGAACTCAGAAAGGAAAAGATCCACGGAAAAAATTTATCCGAAAAATCCGGGTCATTACAACCTTCCCACCTTAAAGGGATTTCGTCCCCGAAATCCAGTCCCAACAAAACAAAAAGGCGAAACCAGGATAACTATGGAGTACATCTCCGAGTACCCCACACAACACGCCACACCAGCGACCTCAAAGCTGAAAGGAACACACAAACTAGTGTCATTTGAACACACAAACTAGTGTCATTTGCACCCACGTGCTCATGACAAGACAACCTCTTGAAGGCAAAATGATCACATGGCCATACGACAAGTCTAAACTCACACAGAGAACCCAAGGTCAGATAAAAGAACGGAAAACAACAACCGTAAGCGTCCCTCCTGACAAACCATCAAACCGATCCAAAAATAACCACCAAAAGGACTCCAAAAAACCACATATAGAATCAAGGTACAGAACAAACACAACGTGGCAGTACGAATAGCGACCAGAACTCGCCCACGACGTACTCGAATGTGTGGTAGCAACGACAATACCTAGTGCCTACCCACACTTACTCGTTAGTAAGGTAGCATCGACAACAACTAGTACTCGCCCACAACACACAACTTTGTACGGTAGCATGACAGTATAAGGCACTAATTCATAACCTGCCCCCCACTAGGTCTACCCAAGAAACCTCTCGATACAAATGACATCAATGTCAAAAATGATCATTACCAAAAGCACTACGGGGACCAACATTTTGTGAGAGTTGAGATATGGTCCAAAGATGTCCGGCCGGACCATCCTGGCCAATCCCAAAACTCTGACAACAATGCTATAGGTACCGCTATGCTTAAGGCCCCAAATCCTCAATATAGTAAAACCAACATCTCCAATGTCTTAAATACCCCTATTAACAACATTAATTAGGAATCTAAAACCTGACAAGCAAATCAATGCCTACAGAAATCAAAATGAATCTCACAATAAGACATTTCATCGGAGTCCTTCACATTACTCCCTAAAACAGATCAACTACAAGACCAATCACCATGATCAAACACCAGATCCACATCCCTGTCATGGATAACTAAATCCTCAAAATACAAGTTCACCAAGTGGCACACACATCAAAATACCAAAAACCAAGGTCACAAATGAGTCTTTCAAAACCGTACTTGGAAACACCAAGTTAAATCAAAATTCTTCAATCTTTGATCCACAACCAATCATCAAAACTACGATTCCTCAAAACTATGCCTAGTCATAACTAGGACGAGAAACTCCACAACAAGCCATATCCAACAGCAATACTCCAAAACTTTTCCTAAAAGTTAACCACATCCAGGTCTCCGAAACGGAAACAAGTCTTCAAAAGACATTCTCAAAAGAGCATCGAGCTTACCCCACAATCAAACAAATCCTCAATTATATGGACACAAGTCCCCATAAAATGATCTCACACCAATCAACTCACTTTGAGCACCACAGCCATCAACAACCACGGTAGAAACTCCCCAAGGGAAGACACGAAAGAAAGGGAACCACTAGTCCTAAAAAGGACAACACCTCGACTCTGTCTTTGAAACGAAAGACAACAAGGTCAAAGACTTCACCCCCTACACAGAAGTAAGCCGACCAAAATACATTAATTCCTCACCAAGGACTTAAGACAACAACGATGATTCTCATGGACCAACCAACCCCAAAACAGTGCACAACACAATGGAAAGAAGAGACTCACTCCTTGTGAAGTCCCTAACACGAACCAATACAAAACCCTTGTGGAAACCCGCATACACACTACGCGCGACCGAGGGAAACGAATGGGAAAACCAAACGTGGAAGTCATGCATATGACACGGAATGCAACTACCAGAAAGAAAATCTACTCACATAGATAAAAATCAAAGGTACAGTAACAAAAGCATCTCACA